GTGCCGACCACCACCGTGATGTCAGTCATTTCTATTCGTAGACATTACTGTTTAAAAATAAGCGGAATAAATATATACCTACAATATTTTATCTGGAACGTCAATAAATGTCAATTAATAGAAAATATCTGCTGATATTACTATCAATATTGAAAACATCATTTAAAAAACAATATTGATCGATCTACTTAGAAAAGAGTTATTACACTAAAAGTAAATTGTGTTGTTTAAAATTCTGCATAGAGCGACGTAAATAAAGCATACAGTGCAATCATAAACTGGATATTTAATATCATTATGCAAGTAATATACTTGGGATAGATAAAATCTGACGCTATGTAATAACGCGACATCAAAGCAGCTACGATCATTTGTGAGCTTTACTGCCCAAAAGTTGCGAGGCAGCAAATGGGTGGGCGCAGAAGTTGCGTCCGCCGACGGACCGTCACACGGTGCGAGCAGGCGAACAGGCGAGTGGCGCTCACTGCTCGCGCGGCATATCAATTTCGACTAGGTACACACAATAAAATTGGACGGTCTCCGGAGAGGGCTTAAACGATTCGCCGTTTTGTCTCGGGACCCAGCTGCGTAATGACCGGAGCAGGAAAAAATTGTCAGCAAGAAAACGCGAGGGTAGTCGGGTTTATGTGCACGCGGCAGCTGGTGGCACCGGGCGGCGACGCGCTCCTAACGGCCTCTGCTTACCTCGCAAAACCCGCGCCAATTTTATTTATCGAAAATATAAACCGATTTGCGGAGGGCCGTCGTAAATTCTGAACGGCTGATTTATGGCGGTTACAGGGCGCGCTTAAAACAAAGTTGCTTCTTAAGTTCTTCCTTACATACACTTTGCTTCCTTATATGAAAGAGGATTCATGTTGAAAACTGATAGACTTGGATAAATATTCAATTGATATGCTGACATCAAAACGCGATACGATCCTTAATGAAATTCTAAACTTACTCGGCACAGTACCTACTAGTTCTGATGTCATAATAATTAAGTATATGCCTATGAGGTACCTAGTTGTAAATGAGCTAATTTATGTGTATAATATATAAATATCTCCTATTCCGCAGAATTACGATCAAAGATTTTTGTATGTATATGTTACTACGATTATTAACCAATAAAGGTCAGTTTAAAAAAAAAACATGTAAACTAGTATTTAAACATTTACACGTTTTGTTGTGGACTTAGTATTATAGCAAGCTAGCAAGGGCGGCACGCAAAACCACAACCCTCAAATAGACTAATTGAATCGCGTGGCCTGTCTCCTTAGACACAGCACTATTATCTACCTACAATTCCATAGGGAGCTGTTTGCGATCTAGTCAGACCCGAGCATGTTAATTCCAAGAGGTAATAATGTTTAATAGCACGCGATATTTTCGATCACTGATTCGTCAGTTCATCGAATGTTTAAACATTTCTAGCGAGCTGGCACTCGTGTCTTCTTTACATAGTATAAAACAAAATCCCGCTGCTGTTTGTTCGCTGATATCTTTTAAATTAGACAACGGATTTTAATGCAGTTTTCAGCAATAGATAGAGTGATTCAAGAAGAATGTTTATATGTATAATACATGCGTGTTATAGTAGTTAGAGATTTGTAATGCATCGTGCGAAGCCGGGACGGGTCGCTAGTAGAATAATAAAATTCAATCGTACCTACATAATACCGGCGTTAGAACATATCGTACAGAATAAAGAATATTTAGCTAATGGACTTTATCTATATTTTACAAAGTACTTTAAGTTACTTACCTGTCAGTTTGTATAAGACTTATTACCTACTTACTCGATCACTCCCTAAATTAACATAATTAAACGTAAAAAATACGGACTTTTCTGTAATTGTTTACAGGCAAATTTATAAAGACATTTCACACCAACACATTTCTCAAAATTTCTATTCAATATATGGATATGCAAAAACTTATGTACGAGGAAATTATAACAGATGTCTAATTTCTTTTAAATTCACTTTCGATTCAATATTAAGGTAATGTAAGGTAGGAAAATATCTAACATTATTATAAATATCAATGGAAGATTCTTGATACCTACTACAATAGCCGAGGCCGTTTTTTTTATTTTATTTTAAAGCTAATGCATAATTTATCATAAGACATCAGGGGGTGAACAGCAGTCCTCCCTTCTCTGACTTTTCACCCGTAGGGTACTATCACAAATACTGCAAAGATCAACATAACAAATAAATGAGTAGGTACCTAGGCATGCTATTCCACCGGCCACGTCATAAAACCGATCAATTTCCTAAATTGATCAGGGATTCACCAAAACAATTTGCCCTTCATAAAGGCAAATTAATTCGGTTCCAATTATGCGATGTAATGGAGGCAGTTAGATTGCCCTGTAATTTCGATTGGCCATATGGCTAATGTTCTCATATCAGTTTATAGTAGGTACCTACTCATACGTTATGTGATAGGTACGTACTTACTATTTGATGACTTATACAATTACTCATATCAATCGATTCATCGTGCTTTTTAATAGAAAGTGTCCGTTCGTAGTTTGGTAGTTTTTTACTTTAGTAAGTTATTTTTATATTACTTAATACCTATACTTGACTACAATAGAAATTATAGGTATTTGATTATTTACTTAATTGATATTTTAGCAATCCTGGCGTGTCTTTTAACGAAATTAGTCATTTAATTATTTTTTTTTATATATTTGGAAATTTTTTATTATTTTAAAATAATACTTTCCTAGTAGGTACTACCCATGTCTATTCTGAATGGGATCTATGAAATCTTAAAATCTATTGTTGATGCATTCTGACTTAATGAAACTTGTTGCGTGTTCAATTTAAGTATAGGTATATACGACTTAGGTAAGTATATATAAGGCTTTTGTCTGTGATAATAAGACAAACACGTGAAAATGTATTTGTTATTGAACCACAAAATATATATTCTGCTTTGCATGGTAACTTATTACCGAACCTTGTAGATTGTACAACGAATTTAAATAAAACTTTTTTTTATAATAATCATCCCATTTCTTTATTTAATACTAATCTATTACTATTCAAAATTAGTTTTCTAAATATCTAATTGTTGCGTAGTTTTTAAGGTAATTAATAAAAATACATTGTAAATAATTATATAAGCTTTATTTTTATACAACTACAAAATGTATAAAATATCAGTCACCTTAAGATATTAGTTGCTTTTAACAGTATAGCGTGGCTATACTGTACTGAATCTTGGATAAAAACAACTTATATTCCTTTCCTCTATCAAAATAAAGTAAGTCTGTATAACAAATAGCAGAATTATAGGAAATAATTAAACAAAGAGAATTTTATTGAATTAGGTGTTAGAAGTCAGTTTCATTACTTAATGGATTTATATTATTTTTCTTAATTCCGCTATATTAGCATGTGAGAGAACACGAATATTCAGTGCGGAAACCTAACCACCACTGTGGCGGTCCCAGGTAGTGATCAATTTCAGACTGTTATTGAACCTACACCCTTATTACGACACGTGTTTCGCCTCTGTACGAGACTTTATGTATATGTAATTACAAAATTAAATATTTAAGTATTTTTATCATTTTATCAGTCGTCTAATACCCACTACACAAACTCTGCTTAGCTTGGGACTAGATGTCGCTGTGTAAATTGTCCAGCATTTTTATATTTTAGTTTATTATTGTTAAATCAGCCAATTCATACTTAGAGCTCGAAAATAGCTTGAAGGCCTAATGGTGTTTGGCGACCAGACTACAAAGAGAAATTTGAGGCGTTTCGTATTAAATAAAATAATATAAATACATTAATTAACACAAACATTAACAACGAATATTACTCTAGACAATAGAATTCATAATTATTTTTTTGATTGATTTCTGCAGTTATATATGTTTCAGTATTAACTTATTAACTTTATCTTGTCAATGTAAGTGATATTATGTATAAATTAAGATTATGTTAATCGTTCTTTAATTATTACAATAGTAAATATAAACTTTGTTTGCAGAAAACTATATATATTAATTACAAACTATATAATATGGTTAATATGAAATAAGAGATTAGCTAATAAATATCAATTCAAAACTAATTTAAACATCCAAATAAGGGGATTAATAATGTTACTATATCCTAAAAGCCTAAATTATACATATAGGTAAAAATAGATAAAATATAATCTTATAAATCACACTATTAAAAATATCATTGTAAACTATTCTCATGTAGGTTAAACAGATCTTTAAATAACACAATAGCAATAATAAACTTATGTAATATAAAAAAAAATGTATAACATAGCTAGAAATTATATTGCACATGTTTAAACAGTACTCTCAAAATATTAAATGTTCTGTTAGATGTCATACGTTGAAAGAAAACCATCATATATCCATCACTCATACGCAGTCACAGAATTAGAATGATTTCATACGAAACACTTATCTACTACTTTATAATATTCATAATATATAAAAATTTAATTAAGACGTACTGTTTTATTTTATCATTTATCATATTACAATTATATATATTTCTAAAAAAGATTATTATTAAATGTTTTTATACATATTTATAATTAATTTCCTTTTTTTTATTAAGCAATCGATTGTTTGTTTTATTTTATATCTTTATAGATATCTATTAAATATACTTAATTTTAGTGAAATCTACTGCTGTAATGTTTCTAACACATTATTGCATATTGAGTTAAAAAATTGTTTGCATTTATTTCCCTAATTTATATAACTTTTTTTTTAATTATATGTAATACTCACAAAATTTTACATTGTGTAATTAAATGTGTATAATATATATCTTATCATAAATAATTTTGTAACATAATTATTCTTATATTTAAATATAATACAACATCAATGACTAATAAACTAAATTATTTTCATTAGTTTTTATTTTAATTGTATACATTGCTCTGGAGATAGGCGAAATAACAGCAAAACACTTTTTCTTTACAAACGAATGTAGTTTTTTACAATTAACACGTTAATTCTTTAATTTTATTACATTTGCTGTAAATTATGATATAAAAATTAATAATATGACACTATTAACTACGGACTACTTATGTTTATAGATTATGTAGATAAAAATAACTTAATAACAACAATATAGAGATGAATAAATATTTTTCTATCAACCAATATTTATATGTCTTTCTTTTGTAAATAAATTATACACCGTAAGAGTTGAATAATCCTTTGATTATTAAATTTAATATCCACCGACTAGTAAAAAATACATAATGTTTACAAATCGTTGTAATAGTGGTCGTGGGAGAGTTATTTGAAATGAAGTGTTGTAATATATATCCTTAATTACTCTCACTATAAAATTGACAAGTTACTGTTTTACTGATATGAAATATCTCATACATTGACGAAAATCTTTACCTCTATGAAACAAAATTCATAGATTTTAGATGTAATTGGAATTTTTTGCAGTTCACTTTAAAAACCGTCTAAATCTTAATTTAAGACATAATTTGATTTAATTAATTAAAATTAATTTGATTAATTGATTTGAAACACAATTTTAAAGGTGGCCAAGAATATTAAAGGCACTATTTTTTTTATATTTTTCATTTTGTGACCATAAGTGAGACCACATTTTAGCACACCAATATGAATTTAATTTATATAAAAATGGAGTACACTGCATTATTGTGCACGAAATTTTAAAGCATATTAATTACATCTAGTTGTTAGGAAATAAATAATAACTAAATCAGCTACATCACAATGTTTCTACCAACTTCCAATACATGATAACATGATCTAAATATGTCACGTAATAATCACAAATAAACTTTCAAAATATATTAATGTATATATAATAGGTATAAATAATTACTAAATCACTAAATTATGAGATTACAATGTTGATATCTTACTACATGCTTAATAATAGTTAAATTAAAGCATATTATCTGAGCTGTATTCAATAAAAAATATCACTATATATTAATATATGAAAATTCGAGACTGTCATATCTCGTTTTAGTGTTAATTACAATAGGAAAGTAATTTTAATTCTAAAGTTACTGTTTAGATACAAATAATCATATGTATATGTCGTTGTTAAAATTTATATACACACATATTTTAGTGGAAGTTGATCACTTACTACATATTATCTAATTGTGAAAAAGATTCCTCCTTACATAACCCATCATTTTTAGTATTCATTAGTCAAGTGACAAGCAAGCAGATTAAAGCACTCAACCAGTTTTAAATTTACTAACTATTGTTATACATTTGTATTTAAGTTGTCCACAGCTTCCATCAAGCTGGGCACTGAGTCTACCTTCATTCCTCGTTTGCGGAGATCATTCAATTCATCCACCAACTTCGATTTATCTCTGCCAAGGGTTTCCCTGAAATTGGAAGTTCCAATATAGAATTAAACTATATTACTCATTTGTGTTCACTTAATTAGGCTTTTGTGCGACATTTTTATTTTATTGTTAGGTACGTATTTTCAATACCCAGACTCCACCTACAGATTATAAAGATAATGTTGGTGTTTTTGTTTAACACTACATTAGCATAACAATCCATGTTTATCTGTACGATAAATATATTTTATAAAACAATTGAATAGACATATATACTCCACTAATTTACTAAATATACTAACAGAAGTTTTTTTTTAATTTAAATGGCAAACACAGTAACGGCTCACCTGATGGTAAGTGTTAATCGCCGCCTATATATAAAAAAATCACTATGAACAACATGCAATGGCCGTGGTATGACCTGATCTGAGAATAGTTGTAATCATTCAATTTTACAATTGCCACATCTTTCAATTGCCTACAAATAATTCTGATTAGCGGCTGAAATTGGTGGGACTTGGGTATACACAAACGACTTTTCACAAAGTATACTATGGTGAAAAATTCGAAAAATGCCTAATTCATGATTATAATACTAGGTTACCACCATTAGTTTCATCAATAGTTCTACAGTAGCTTAAACTATACAATACATGCATTTTTTAATACTAAAATCAAGTGTATGGTTCGTCTGATGGTAAACGGTTACCATAGCCTATGGATGCTTGAAACACCAGGGATGTCATGTGCACATTGGTGATCCATTATTATGCATTAGCTTCATGGTACTTATAATATATTTTTTCAAATCATACTAACCATATTGAAATACATGTGTACAGCAGAGGTATATATATTAGTAACAAGTCCGAATCACTGACAGCTTCATATCGACGCAAAGCAAGCTGTGCCCAGCGCTCCACAGGACCTGCCAGAGCTCCTCCACTGGCCCCTGCGCAGGCCACAATGCGACACAACGCACTCAACACTACCCGTGATCTATCTGTGTATACCTGAAATAACATAAATCATCATCATTGCGTTGGCTTTATCCCCTCACTAGCTGATCCACTCAACTTCCTCTGTATTTCCCTCTTTTGCAATATTTTTCATTACAGCACTGCTCTTATTTGTCATAGCGTAATGTTATATAGCTTAAAGGCTTCCTCGAACCATTAGTCCCTGAGATTTGCATGTTCAAGCAACCAAACAAACAAACTCTTCAGCTTTATAATATTAGTACAGATTTGGGATCAGTGCAGTATGTCATCTTTCACCAGTCCTAACAGACGTCATGTGAGTATACTCTTCTTTTATGGGTATCATTAACACAGTCTATCCATGTTTTGTTCTGCTACCCTCTACTGTTACTTCCTTCCACTTTCATATTAGTAACTGTCTTTAAATGGTCCTCACTCCACATAACGTATCAAATTGTGAACTATATACATTATTATCATTTATTTCATTGATAGTTTACTTTTAATAGTCTTATTTGAATTTATATTACAGTCTAGTTAAAAAATTATTCAAATTTGATTTTAAATAAATTACCTTATTCAATAATTTGAAACTAGTTTCAAGCACTGAGAGTGCTTGATCAAATTTTTCCTCATTCATAAGTCGTTTGGCTTCAATTAGTTCAATATCTTGAAAGAATGTGATAGATGCTGGGGCATCTCTCAGTCTTGACTCGTTAGATATTAAGTCTAGCAACACTTCAAATGCTGCACATCGAGTTGATATTAAATTAGGGTCAAAATTTCCAACCATCATCTGAAATACATTAAATTAATATCTTAGAATATTATAAATACATTTAATATATTATTTATGTAATTTGAATGGCAAATAAGCTAACAGCCTACCAATGGTAAGCAGTAACCATCATATATACAAGAATAGTACTCTCTACACACACAATGGCCCAAATGAGAGGCTACTTGCAGAGAATAGAGTCCACATTACATTACATTACAATACAAAAATAGCACTATAGACATTATGTGAAACTCATGATACCAGTCATACATTGCCTTTCCATAAGATGATATCATGCACCTAATTCCAGTCACTGCACTACTTAATCTGCACTCTACAACTGAAACACAGCTCAAATAAGCTGACAGCCCATAAATGGTAAGCAACATTAACCATCACCTATATATGAATAACACTAATGATTACATCATCAGGACTATATCATGCCCCTTACTTAGTAATAGCACTACCTAATCTGCACCCTACAACTGAAATAGTAACAAAGGAAGCTGCTTGGCGTCTAAAGTAGGTGAGACTGAGATAGTGACAGAGACATTTTTTTACAGTCTATCTCTGGAAATTTTTTACTTTTTACACCAACAACAAAACAAGTAGGATTTTTTATGAAATACTTTAATGCAAACCACCGCAATATACAACTTATATATCTAGGTAAGAGAACACACTGACCCACTTATTATTATAATAGCAAACAAAAACAACTATTTAATTAAAAAAAGACAAAATAGTTTCTTTATTATTATTATCAACAAAATTAAAGAAAGCTATTAGTGTCAAGTTTGTGTTGTAAACAACATTAATGAGTTATTCTTAACAAAGACAATGTACTATCTTACTGCTTACTAATTATATCATTAATAATTATAAATTATTTAATAATTCTAAACACAAAAGTTTGTAAGGATGGATGTATGGATGGATGATTCATTTCTATTTCATACAAATACTACTCAATGGATTTTGATTAAAATTTACAGTAATATAGCTGATACGTCAGAATAACACATAGACTATAAATTTAATGCAGGTCAAACTGCAGGCACAGCTAGTATTGAAAATTACTGGTCTGTTGTTTCATTTTATAAATTATTATTATTAAAAGAATAATACTAGCCATCACAACATTATTAATATTATTATTAATCTATATCATTTGTTTCGCTAAAGAAAACTACTGCTGAATGAACTATGTTAACTTTAAAATTACTATTTAAACTGAAACTTATGTTTTTTATAGTTCAATTCTCAAAATATGAGTTGAATATTGTTACTTTTTTCTGCTGAAAATAAATCATATTTTCTCTACTTGGCAGAGGACCATAATGAAATTTATAAAATTGAAAAAATAATTATATAATTTATATTGTGTGTATTTTCTAATAATCTTTGTTGCCTTTAATACAGTTTCCTTTAATTAACATAGTAAGTTTTTAGCTAAGTAAAAAATAATTTTGATTATTAAGACAAAAAATAATAATTGTATATTAGGTACAGCTAAAAAACATATATTTAATTATGTTTACCTAATATGAAATAGATCTAAGCAAATGACTCAATTAGACTAATAATGAGATAACTCACCTTTCTAGGAAATGACACATTGTTTAATAAAACTGGACACTCTTTTTTCAATCCATTGTACAGATCCAAAAAATGGGTGTATCTACGCTCTACATTGGCAGGGTCTGGGTCGTACAGCTCATAAACCTTTGATTCTTTATTATCACGTCTTGCTTGTAGCATATATGCTACAAATTTTTTCTCGTCACCTTCTACAGTTCGCGAAGAAACTATTTCAAACTTCAGCATTTTAGTTCGCACACAAGGAATACTATAATGTATTCTACTGTCAGACTATTATTCTTAAACGTAATAAACCCGAACGAGAGTAACGAATACTAGTCAAATGAAGCCAGCTAATGAGGTTTTTATGAAAGTGATTTTATAATAATCTATTCTCTTTGTTTGCAAATACAATGAATTAGATGTTTTGTTTTATTTACCAATCCAGAAAAATGAAGGTACAGATCAACCAAAAAGTCCTATTGACAAATAATGACAAATGGCATGTGACAAAACTGACGCGATGACTGACAGTTTACTTTATTCACATTACCTGTGGATATTTTTGTTATGTACTTTACTAGCATGGATTATGTTCCTTGAGCATGGAAGAAAATAACACGTTAGGTAAATAAGCAATATTCGCCACTAAAAAACAATATAGATATTACTTTTTCAAATAGATCAGTTTTACCTATTCGCATACGCCCTAATTGCGCAAATGAACATATTAGTACTTGTTTTATTTAATGGTGTTGATGTTTTTTACCTATTCCAGTAAATTACTACAAACTTGCTATTTTATTTATTTGCACAATTATATTGTAACTGTTGTTATATTACAAAGGACCATAAATTATGTCAATTAAAACTACTGTATTTATTAAAAACTATTTACTTTGTACATTTAATTACTGAGCTGAATGCACTTGTGCCATTTGTACCATTTATAGGTACAGTATGTATGTATTTACGGCCAAATAATAAAAAGATGAATAACAATAAAATATACTAATTGAACCACACTAAATCATTAACAATTTTGCAATCTAATTAACGGTCAATATCACCGAACACAATATCTACTGTGGCAATCAGTATTGCTATATCGGCGAGCATCAACTTTGGTCCGAGCACTGAAAGACCTAGAATGTGAGTAAAAGAACACGGTCTTATATATACCCTATATGGTTTAGACGTACCATCAGCGACCATATACAATCCTAATTCACCTTTTGGACATTCTACTGCTGTATAAGTAGCTCCTGGTGGAACGCAATAGCCTTCGGTGCATAATTTAAAATGATGTATTAGGGACTCCATAGATGTTTTCATCTCAATTCTAGTTGGAAGAGATATTTTAGCATTATCTGCTTTTATTTCACCTTCGGGTATTGTATCTATTACTTGGTTAATTATTCTTAAAGATTGCCGTAACTCTTCTAAACGTAACAAATGACGATCATAACTATCCCCAAATGTACCCACAACGACATCAAAGTCATATAAATCATAGCCATCATACGGCTCAGTGACTCTTAGGTCCCATTTGACACCCGTACATCGTAACATAGGTCCAGTAAAGCCCAAATTAATTGCCTCGTGTGCACTAACAACACCTATTCCAGCAGTTCGTGCGTAATAAAGTCTATTTCCTGTAGCAACATCTTCAGTCTCATCACACCGCTCACCCATTTTCATGCACAATTCATGTACGTCATCCAAAAAACCAATAGGAAGATCTTGGGAGACCCCACCTGGTCGTAAATATGCGCAATGAACACGCGCACCGCACAGTCTCTCAAATAATTCATAAATCTTTTCACGTTCTTCACACATCCAAAAGAAAGGGGTAATTCCTCCAGCGTCTAGGATAGTTCCAGAAATATTTAACAAATGATTTGCTATTCGACATAATTCACTGCATAGAACTCGAATAGCTTTCGCTCTGGGAGGAGCTTCGATGTTTAAAAGTATTTCGATAGCTAGCGCAAAGCATTGTTCATTTGATATAGTTGAAACATAATCAAGGCGATCCATAAAAGGCAGACTTTGGTTATAGTGTTTGTGTTCCATTAGTTTTTCAGTAGCTCTATGCAAGAAACCTATATGAGGGTCAGCCCTAACTACAGTTTCACCATCCAGCTCCAAAATAAGACGAAGAACACCATGTGCTGCCGGATGTTGTGGTCCAAAATTAATAAACATATTTTTCAGCTTTCGCTCTACTGGCTTCACTTGCGAATTATATATCATCCTATAATACTTATCTGTCTCATCGGTGCGAAAAAACACAGGTCCGGCGAATTGTTTCATGTATTCTGCATCCGGAAACCACCTGTGCGCGCAAATTGGTGAATGTATTCTTATATATCGACATTGGTACAAATTATCTTTCATTAACGATACCAGTCGCAAATAGCGCATGTTAGTACCAAAATATAATAAATTATTATAATATATAGACATAGGTAGATATTATGACGTATGATAATAAATTATTTGACACTTGATTATTCAGAATTATTTTTTAAAATTGGTTAGTAGGTAAATGAGTTTTAACCTATTTGTTAATAAGTAGTTCATGCGTACGAAACCTTGTGATTTCACTAGAGTCCTCCTGGCAGGGGCTTGGCTTTATTACTTTCGGCTCTGCACACAACAGCTCAAACGTGGAAAGTAAAAAATAATATAATAGATATATTTCTGTTTTTGATGTGACTAAGACCCTAACTAATTTTTTTTGTACATCTACGAACTTGTACGAACAAACTTACTGCCCACCTGAGGCTGAACTACACTACGGACATTGCACTACCATATGAATATGGAATATTTACTACGCATGGGAGTCATTCTTAATGTGTCCTGTATCTTTCCTGTACAAAGCAAATATGGTGGCTGAAATAGTTGAGTCTAAGACACTCACTGCTTGTAAAAAGACTCAGGGTTTATAAGAAGAAGTAGAACTAGAAAAATGCTACTTCTCTAGTAGGTGAACTAAGTTATTATCAGGTTAAAAAAAACATTTAGGTATTATATAAATTACGAAACTATATTTCACATTTTTGGGTTACATATACTTTTAGTTACTATGTAATATATAGGAATGTATTTCTCATCATAACTATATATAAAATAAAAAAATATATAGTTACACAAATGTGCATTATACAATAAGTATAGTTTAATAGTTAAGTAATTAATATAGTTAATATAATTATTATAAAATTTAAATAATTTATTATATATCAAAGATGTTCGTATCAATAGGTACCTACTTAACGTAAACCAATTTATTAAGTAGCTATAAGGATACTTTACTAATAAAACAAATTAATCAGATTAACTTAAATATTATAACAAATGTTACTATCTATAGTCGTTTGATTAATATAGCTATTTCATTCTTTTAAAGATAATTCTGAAAATCTCTGAAATAGTAGCGACCTACAGATATGGGCTAGTCAGTACAATAACTATAACATATATCTCTTGTAGGTAATTTTGGAGATTACTTTTTATATAGATACAGAAACTCATTACAGTGGTACACTTTTTTATAATACTAGTATAGTATAGAGATGCTTAAAATCGTACGAGAAAAAACCTCGAAAGAAAGTTTTATTTATGGTTTCTTACGAAACTATATAAAAAAATAAATCCATTATAAGTATATATAATTATGGCTAAATTACAATAACATACCCAATCTATACAATAAAATTTTACTTCTTATTCAAATTACCAATGAAATTTTTGAAAAAAAAAATAATATAATTAAGTTTTAAAAGCTGTATTTTCATACCAATACTGATAAAGATTTGTTTATACTATTACTATTGTATGGTATGTTAACTTTTACATTTTACATTATCTCCTTTAAATGTGCAACGATTTTTTAATATGAGCTCTTGCGATTCTATTCATACAATTATCAGTTGTCAATAAAAATCAGTATTTGAATAGTCGACAGTCAGTCAGTATAGGTAGGTATAGTAATAATCAGCAAATTTTACATTATTTAAAATAAAATGTTATATATAACCTTATATAACAATGTGTTTCAAATCTACAGATAATTAAATTAATTTAAATATATAAATCGTCATATAAAACAGGAGAGGTAAACTGTCGCTTAAATAGCTATTTTAGTACATATCTACCTCTCATGCGGTATTTTTTTTTTCTAAAAATATATGTACCTATATCAAGATAGGACGTCGATATACACAATTCCGAAAGGTATGATTAGTTAAGTATACTAAATATTATAGGTAGATAGATTTATTACATTTATACCTTTAACACAGTAAATATGTTATATATAAATACAACAATACCAACATCGATTAGATAAATAAGTACAATATCCTTATACAATACATTTTAGATAATATTACAGAATAATGTTGAATAGTATAAGGCTGTTTGAAATTTTAAATGTAGTCGTTATGAATAGAGATTCCATTTAAATGTCACACCCCTAGGTGTATACCTACTTATTTTATTGAAATTTTAAGTTAATTTAGTACAAATTTAAATAACAAAACCTCACATTGAGCATGTGGGATAATTAAACTAAAAACTTTGAAAGTAGGTATCATTGTTCACATTTTAATATTACATCATCAATTAATTTAATATAAATCAAAATTAATGAAATTGTACTAATACAATTTCGTAACAGACAAATGCCTATGTATAGATATATGAAAATAATGCATTCCAATAAAAAAATATCGTTCATTCTAGTACTTATGTTAGTACAAATACTGATTCGATTGTTTGTAACAAACAAGCAATAAATAGACACTCCCGACCGTATCTCTGTGGATATTCGTGTCACATCCTTATTAGATATATTTAATAATGAGCAAGAGAGCTAGAGACTGCTAATTTATTACCAATAATAATAATGCACCGATAGATACCATTATTATAGTCTTATAAATTATTCGTGCTGCCAGCGACTTTGTTCCCGTTCATGAGTAGATGCTATCTATTGACAATACTCAAACGACAATAAGTAAACTATTTATACAAGTACGTGTATTATTTTGTATCTATTAATAAATTAATTTGCAATAATAAATGGCGTATTTAAAAGAAAAATGAATAAATACTAATTTATTCTTTTATATTTGTAAGACTTCTTTAGGTGCATATTATAATATATAGGTATAGTCACTTCTGCTGTCTGTTCGCTTAGATATTTTAAACTTTATATGTATAATAGGTACATGTACACCCGTACGAAGCCGAGGGGGAGGGGGGGGGTAGTTAGTTAGTTATAAACTAAAGAAGTCTCACAAAACAAATATCCACATCTTACACATTATGGGAATTTTTTAAGCTAATTTCTTCAACCGTTTTTTAAGTGAGACCTAACCACACGAACAGTTAAATAGACAGTTTTACATTAATGTAAAGAAAAATAAAGTATATTCGCTAGTCCCTTATATCGAGAACTATCTAGTAGTGGTTAATATTTGCTAACTTAAAACAAAGGCAAAGGTACATAAAATACATTCGGGGTTAGATGCGGCAGAATTTTACAACTCGATGTGTACGTGGTAGAAAGTATCGGCGTAGATAATAGAAAGTGTTTTCTTTATTAATTGATAAGCAAATAGTGTTATATTACGTTTACTACAAGCGCGTAGATAGTGTTTGAAAGTGTGCCATAATAATGCAGAATGTCGCTATAGAATGGCATACCTATTTAGTTTGGCAGTGGACATTTTCCAGCACTACCTATTATATAGTACCGAACTATCATGGAAATAAATACAGATAACCACTCAAAACATTATCTGTAGTATCAATTTAACTGATACTAAATACACAAAAATTTCATATTTCCCTATTCACTTCCCATAAATATTAACTAAGGATTTGTGACTGCCAAAAAAAGAATAGAAAAGAATCGTCGATAAGAAAGATATAGAACTTTTCTTCCACACTATCTCCAGTGACATTCCTAAAGCCTAATGGTAAAGGTACATGGTAATTTTGTATAGGTACGTAGTTTTAACATCATTCTATATTTTAATATATAATATAGAATATAGTAATGATAGAGTGATGTCATTGAAAAGTTTACTGGCTATTAGTAGCATTCATTCATTTATTCATCGTAACATCTCAGCATATTTTATTTCAGCGTACATTTTGGACAAATATTGTAAATCTATGTTCTGTAATAGATACATAAATTGTCTATCAACTGTGAAATATTCCTCAAGGTAGGAACACGTATACATTGAATTATACTAATGGTGACTTAAAAATTAAGATTGTATGCGTCTCTAAAGAATAAATTACGAATATAAATCGACACGTAATAATATATATCTAAATACAAAAGTCTGTAAGTAGATTTAGCCCTCACAATCTTGATTTCCATTTCTCGCTCTATTATGAGAGGATTTACTATAGTAGATATAAGTACTCAATATATCTTTACAAAAAACGTCGATAAGTATTATGGAATCATCAGTCGCGAGCCTATTAATGGGCAACTCATATACTTTCTAATTTTATAAAATTTGTATAAGTATACTGATTTTATTACTTACATAACTGTAGAATTGCAAGCAGAATGCGTAAAATTGTTTCTGCATGTTAAATTAATCTAGCGTGTGGCACCTAGTAGATATATAGATACTTTTTATTGTTCCCTCCATAGCATTATATTTTATTACACATAAATAACAGAACGCGTCAAAACAACGAGCGGCCTTACCGCAAAAAGCGATCTCGTCCAGTCCATCTTAAGTTATATCTACTACTATTTTCTGCACAAGTCTATTAAAATATCAATCCGTGTTTCATATAGGTTTCATACCTATATATTATAAATAAAATAGTCTTGATTAATAGTATTGAATACTTGATATAAAAATATCAGTAATTAAAATAAATTGAACACATTATATTAAATAAGCTCGTTCAATAATGTCTTATTATAAATATATCACAAAAAGCATACATAACATACATATTGGTCCTATAATGGGCAACATCTAGTTATATGCAATAACCAATATATTAGACATTCAATTCGAGATATTCTCAGATGAATCGACGTAGATACACGTGCAGAGTTTCTGTAGGAACCTGAGTACACTACCTGAAAGATTGTTATAACACGCAGGTTTGTTTTGCCATTTAACACAAAGATAGTAAACGGGTATACCAGAAAGTAAAATGCCTACGCCGATAGCTGTATCTTTCGGTTGAGTTATAGCCGGTATCACGACTAGACAGCCGATGGCAACAAGGAACAAATAAGGTATTACAATATTAACTCTAATAGGTCGAGGTAGATCTGGTTTTGTTCTTCTCAGCCACAGCATCCCCACTACAGACGCGCCAACTGACAGCCAAAGTGTTTGCGAGAAGTAATTGATTAAATCAAACACGTTGCTAGTCGTCAGCATAAGGAGTGAGAAGAAGCACTGGAATTAAAAATAAATATTTATTATTCTTTGATTATGTAAATATCCGGAAGCTTACTTCAAAATAACTGCTAACTGTCAATACTAAACATGTGTTTTACAACATTAAAGTGTAGTTGTTTTAATAACACAATTACGTACATACATATTCCTACCTATTTCAATAAATAATACAATTAATTAAATTATTTTACAAGTCGTATCCCGTGGTGGTTGCTCGATAATAATGAATGAATAGATTTCTATAGATAAAAGAGTTTTTAACCTGAAATCGATGAAGTATGTTTTGATTTTATGCATTACAATTAACAAATCTTTCATATTTAATATATATACCTATATACGTAAATTTATTTCTTCAGACATAAATTTAAGTAGATAATTGTGTTGTTTTTGTAAATATTACTTGGCATTTGAAGAGAATCACTATATCTGGACACTTATGTAATCAATGTTATTATTATCTTTATTCTATGGCCTTGACGTATTAGCGACTAAATTCGACGATATTAAAACTTACTGTAAACATAAGTGAAGGTATCGGAGTCTGTTTTTCGATATGGAACAGGGAGAAGAATGCGGGCATGTGTCCCTCCTGGGCACCAGTGGCGAACAGTCGGGCGGATGTGAACAGTACACCGTTGACACCACCGAATGTTGACAGTGCCACGAATACCGGAATCACCCAACTCCAACCGATAAAAAGACGATCACCGAATATCTGAAACATTTTGAAAAATATTTTCCACGTCACTAACTCATGTCTGAGGTAGATTTTAAACAAAGTCGTCTTCGTGGGTATCTTTGACTCATCGACTTCAGCCGCCATGCTTAAAATCGTTTATTGTATTATGGAGTAAAGCAACTGATATAAATACAATATTTATTTTTCTAAATAGAGCCATCCACTGCATTTATAGTATGGGTTGTAATGAAACTTTACGAGAGTGCATTAAGGAATCATGTATGCCAGGAAAAAATAACAGTTTCAAAAAAGTTTGCGATTTTATTAATAAAAGTGAAATAGGTAAGTAAAATGACTTAATAATAACAAACTGCCAGTCTCTCGTATATGTGCCAGAAAAATATTCAAATATCGTACAAAAGCACTTTCTTTGCAAATATACTAATTATAAAATTTAAGAGTTTATAAATGATATAACGTTTTTGTAGAAAAAATCTAACTTAAAATTCATAGTACTGACAATGTTATCTGATTGCACAAAGAATGAATGAGTATATAGCGGTTTTTATATTAATTGTAGCAGGCATTGTTCCTCTTTATTAATGGGTATTTAAAGCAACAATTATTTAAAATAGTAATATTTAAGTTCTCTCTCTAAGTCTCACGTTCTTCCTGTGATGAATACTCATCAGCGTTCCAATTTTGTGGTAAGATTAAAAAATGTGACTATTCAAAAATTATGCTTATTATAAAATATTAAGTTTACTTGGATAAACATTTTTCTATTTCTAATTCGGTTTAAGTTGTATAATAGTGAATTAGAAGGCACGCACATGAGAGTATGCGTAGCTATTGCAGTGGACTAGCATGCGTGTGACATATCTGCGTGCTTTGTAATTTCACTTAAATCTTAATACACTGTTACTCTGAGCTACGTATTACGAGCGTCCCGTAATGACGTGATATCCTGGTGCCATTCATTCTGGTGCGATGATTGCCATTTACTACCTATCTAGTGTATCATCGTCTTGATTATTGCCATTTCACTTAAAGAACAGCACTGAGAATATCCCCTCATTCTTGAGACCTATGTATGTTATTATATCACTATACTATATAGTAGAAAATGCCACATGTTGTAAGTCCGCCAAATGTACTGTAGTGTGCATTAAAGTTAAATAAATAAATATCACTCCCATATCACACCTTGCAGAGCCATTTGCTTGACAACAGTTCACAAAGAAATGAACCACTAGAGATTGGTAGTGTAAGCAAACATAAAGTATTCCACTTACAATAAACAAATAATTCGCTAACATTTAAAGTTCAAGACCCTTGGCAAAAACTCCGAAAAAAGCTGATATCATATCAGAGGAGAGTATTATTAGAGTAATCATTTTCTAATTATAAGTGCTGACAAGGTTAAGTAAACACTCTTGTTACTATAAGACTAAGTACCTTTAATGATAAGAAAATTAAAATTTGTTATCGATAAAGAGGTCAATGTGGTATAGCGATGCTATAACAATAGGTATACTATCATTTTATATTTACAACTACAGTATATGTATAGAAATAAATTTTCAATGTCAGTATCAGTTAAGAGAAGATTTTCCTATATCCTCCTATCAATCAAGTAAAGAATTGTAATTTTAATAAATAATATGTTGCTCTAACGTAATATTTTATCAACAAAATAATATTCTATACAATTTTTTATGTTAAATATCAAATTTTTAAAACTACTAATGATTACGGAAAACAGAGAGCTCAGATTAGATTTTTATAGGATAAGACTTTAATAAGCAGATATTCACAATATATAAAGACGAAATTAAAACACAGACACCGCGGACTTTCTATAAAATTTTATCCTCTTATAGAAAAGTCCACTTCACCGACAAGAGCTCAGCTCTTAAGTTATGAAGAAATGAATGAATATACAAAAGTAGGTATTTTATTTACCCTGAATAATATATTTCTTGGTTTTAGATTTAAGTATAGAGTATAATTTTAATATTTAATATTTAATAGAATATTCATTCCCATAATTATTTTAAAACATAAATTTGTGATACAGAGAGTGTAACATGTTAACATTGCAGGTAACTAGTTATTATACAATATTTTAATTAGCGATATAATTAAATCTAAATCAGAAACTGCGTGCGCCGCAAGTCGCGTAGCGGAAAATTTATTTTACTATGAAGTTTTATTCATTTCTCCACCCACTACCCATTTCCCACGCATCTAGATTCTATTACATTTATTTATATAAGAAATATAACAATTACGCTTAACTAGGAACGAAAAAGCAATAAATATACGCTCAGAAATGCAAACAATAATTTCAAATAGCGTATATATATATATATACATACTGCGGCCACAGCTGGATTAGACATCATTTCCATCTTGGAGACGACGGCAAAATAGGCCAAGTTCGCCATAACATAGATAATGGTCACCATAGGCATAGCGATCCATATGGCACGCGGCAAATTCCTGAAATAAAACGAAACGAGACACGCATGAGAAATTACTCCTACACTATTAATAGGCGAATATGGGGAAGTGTAGAACTCATACAAAAATAAATAACACTTATTACGTTTCGCATATACTATCGTATCGTATGATAATTAAAATTAAAAGTCTTGTTATAAATCAGATATCTATAGCTCTAGGTATTTTTTATGTGTTACCTCAGATTTTGTGCCACATGAAATCAGTTAATCCATCATGGTAAATTAATTAACCGCGATGGTTTCTAGGGGGGCTTGGGGGTCCTATCTATTAAATCATTACTATTAATTGGTAATCAACAGCTGTAAAAATAATGATTTCAATACTTGCCTATACACGTTAAATGCTAGTTAGTGGATACCGGAATAACTACAAATAAAATGATAATCCGACGAATCATAAACTATTTCAGTCGATAAACATTTCGAAAATTAAAGATTCATCGTGTAATGAGATTGTGATAAAAAATATACCAACGCATTGCATGCACGTGTACCTAATCCACGATGTTTGGCACACAGCCAGGTCGCGATAGACCTTAATGATTTTTTCTATGCTTTCGTAATTTACGATAGTAATTAATAATTCGTCAGATAAATAAGTAAAGAAAAAATTGGATCATCTACCTAAATTATTTCAGTGTAAGAGTAATTCAAGAAATATAAAAAGTATATAATACAATATAGTAAGTAGATAAATATAAGATACATAGCACAAAAAGTATACCTACTTATATGAGTATTAATTAGAATTATATAATATTAATCAAGTATTTCACAAAACTTCAGCTTCCAAGTGGCTAAATTTGTATGGAATCCACACTGTGTATCATTAGAATAAAAAATCAAAAGCCTTTGAGAATTTAGTAATATGATAATCTATCAATCACATGTATATACCAATTTCATCCTTACAACTACCAATATATGTATATAAATTACCACATTCCAAGATGTTTCCTAGATTAAGGTCCAACATGTTTAGTCATGAGCTCGTGAGATTCGTATGAATAATACATGCAATAGGGTAGAGTACCTGCTACGTAAGAGCAGGGTGCAAGAAAGTTAACCCAATGGAGTTTATTTTAGGAAAACAGAAGTAATATTTACACACTCTTCTACAAATACTAAACCGTTTAAATGGCGATATATAAAAAGATCTCTTAAAAATTCTAATTTCATATACATATAATTTTTCTGCATTAAAGTTTTTAATGTTAGTTCGTAGAGATTTAAATAAGAGATAATAATTGACAGTACTTTCTTGTTATTCTGGTAATCATGAATACTCATTATTTCCTATGTAGATGTAGTGATATTTGATAACAATCTTAGTAAATGGTAGATAAGTTCATAAATCTTATTGAGTAACAATAACAGATTGTATAATATGTCATAAATCAGGACAACATATCTATATAAATACGTAATTGTACGTCGTTAATTACACGTGAAGAAACTCGTGTCATCATATCTATCATTCGTAAAATAGAATTACTATGATATATGGAAATTATTTTAAACCGAGATAGATTATATAAAAAGTCGTCGACGTGGGTACTCAGTCTAATCTATTTCAGATTTTTTTAGCAGCACGGTAATAATAATAATAACAATAATCTCAGGACAATCCCATCATTACCAAAGCACCATCTAGTCCCAAGTAAAGCTACGTAAAGTTTGTGTAATAATATATAAATATATATTTTTTCGTAAATACATACATATAATATATAGAAAACACCCAGACCGATACAATCATACTCATTAATACAAATGCGAGGAATCGAACCCGCGACCATTACATTTGTCCATAGAAGTTTTAATAAATAACCCTACTATATTTCATTAATATTTTTATGAAGTAGTATTCAGTAGTTTACGTTACATAACCCAATAAGTAATTTACTATATTTTCACATCAGAATATAATAATACTGACATAAATGTTTGATATCTATCTGGCCATCGTTTTTAGTGCCATAGCTAGTAAGAGGAGCTGAAGGACTCTATGCATCTAAGTACTATTTATATAGCTCTCACGTCGGCGTCGGCCACTTGTGGATTTAATTCCCAATTGACGACGCCTAACTATTATGGCAAAGTTTCGGATTCCCTCTTTTTTGTTTCATGCTCTATGATTTAAATAATCAGAATGTTGTAATGATTTATCAATAAACATAATATTAGTACCAACAGTACAAGTAGAATAATTAATATATTTAATATTTAATAGCGAATTTAACATTCTAAAATAACTAAAGTAAATAAAAAAAAAATTAATAGCTACTTTTACTGTATTGTCTAATACAGTAAAAGTAAATTTTACTGATTCGCTATTAATTTTTTTTTTATTTACTTTAGTTATTTTAGAATGTGGTTACTACACTAAATTACCGATTACATTTCTTATTATTTTCAGAATAAATCTGTTTTAATGTACACCTCAGGACAAAATAAATAAATTAGGAGCTACATATACACATAAAGTTCACAACAAAAGCAGAATTAGACTTTCTAAAATTTTCTTTGAATATATGTTTTCGTGCTGATGTTATCTTAAAAATAATACCCATTTGTTTGTCATTAATAATCGGACAAAATAATATAAATAAATGAATCAAAAATAGAATTCGCACTGAAAGGTTATATCAATCATCGTGCGAAAGGAAGTGCAAATAAACAGGTCAAAGAAGCACAGACGAATTCAAGCAAATCACAATACTAAGAAGATCTCGAGATAAATCTGAGATAAGAAAATATCCATATATATATAAACACCTCTTTGGGCACTTTGTTGATCACGCCACAACCTAAACACTTGCCGATTCCACCTTTTGCACTGAATAACTTGACTCCTATCGCGTATATCTCAGGCGGTATGGCAACGTCGCATTCTATTTTGCGATGTGGCCATATATATTCGTCGATAGTACGATATACTCGACACTTTTTTTACTAATAATTCGTGACTGAATGGCTCCGAACGGCTAAATTTTTGGTATACACAAAGATTTTTTGGCTCTGAATATATTCCAAAAATCAATTAATTATGTTGATCACTTTATATACTCGTCCTTACTGCGATACTTACTTTCATCCGAATATATATAGATACCGTAACGGTCTATCAATTATGACTTTATTAATTTACTAATGTAGATATTTTATATTCGCAATGCTCCATACATGCAAGCTCCAGCAACGGTGGAGGCAGGGTCCCCCCTGCACCGTACACCGCACCCCGCGCACACAAACAAATTAGATATTTTTTGAATACACAAAGACTTTTTGGCTCTGTATATATATTTCAAAAATCAGTTAATTGTGTTGATCACTTTATATACTGGTCCTTACTGCGATACTTATTTTAATCCGAATATATATAGATACCGTAACGGTCTATCAATTATGAATTTACTAATCTACATATTTTATATTCGCAATGCTCCATACATGCAAGCTCCAGCAACGGTGGAGGCAGGGGGATTAAACAAATTAGAATAAATTAAATTCATAAGATTATTTATATATTTCGACTGCCTCGGTGGTCACACCGCTTTACATCCGATGGTCGCGGGTTCGATTTCTCGCACGATGCAAACATTTGTACTCATCGGTCATCGATTGTTTTCATCGGTCTGGGTGTTTTATATGTATATTATATATGTATTTACAAAATAAAAATATCTATTTATATCAGTTCAGTATCAGTCTGTGTTAATTGTCCAGGGTTATTTATTATATTTTTATAAACGGTTATCTTTTTCCATCGCACCGCTCGCTATCGACAGTGAATTCATAGAAATGTCACTCTAAAAACAAAAATAGTTTTGTGTTTTGTATTTCAAATACTAAATGCAAAATAGGTATTTTCAAAATACTTTTTAAAAATTAAGTACCTTTTGAATTTTTGTCCAAACCTCAGATATTTTATTTATTTTAGGTATATCAATCATTACATAGTAATATAAAAACAAAGTCGCTGTCGCATCTAACAGTACATAAACAAAGAAAGAAGACTTTGGCTCTGATACCGTAACGGCCTATGAATTATGAATTTATTATACCTAATCTAGATATTTTATATTCGCAATGCTACGTACATTGTAATATCCGCCTCCATTCATTGTAACGGTGGAGGGACTAAATAGTTGAATAAAACTGAATAAGCAGTTGCTCCACTCTATAGGTACTGCGTCGTCGTCGTATGCTGTTCATTTTTTCACTCGTTTTGGCGCCAAGAGAGGGTCACATAGTCGTGGTCAAGTTAAGAACTTATAATTTAATTTTGATAACAATAGATACAAGTAAAAAGTAGGTATTATATTAATGTACGTAAGTACTGTACTTAAAAATATTTATTCTTTACTGTATGTACATTTGAAAAACTTAACACTTAAGGACTTGTACATATACACGTACATACTGCCATTTTCTCTTAAAGACATCCAGAGAAGCACTATTTATCAAATACGCGGGGTGCACCGACCTTTGACCTTATAACACCTGATTCGCGCGTAACGAATTACATTGCTACTTTTTGGTATTTTATAGTGGATATGTCACTATAAAATATTATTATTTCTTTAGATTATGACATAATAACATAGTTTACATGATTTTAAGGGAAACATACGATAAAAAAATCCCGTAAAATGTAAAAGATAAAAAATGGTTATTGTTGGTTATCCTTAAGAGATAGACATATACCATCACGGACTTTTTTGTTGACCTTATTTTGATACATCTCAAAGCACTAGACAACACGCATTTTCATTAAACAGTATTGTATTTTTTTATTTCTTTAACTTTAATGCACAAAAAAATTTGTACATGTGGCGGACTTAATATTTTGCCGCGTTATTTACCAGGCAACCATGAGTGGTGCAGCGAAAGATTATTGGCGGTGCACTAATATAAATAAGAAATGTCAAAAAAAGATTTATAAAGATAATAAAGATAAGCAAAATATACATT